TTACCCTCAAACTCCAGGGTCGATGAGAAAGCAGTGAGCTCAATGGACTCTGTGGGTACCAACACCTGTTTGCTCGCTAGCCTCGGAGCTGTTGGAGGTGAGGGGATCTTCTCTAGATCCCACATCTGACACCAAGTAATATCAGCCTTAAAAATAAAAGTCAGTTACGTTACCAGAAAAAAATGTGTTTATTCGGGAACAACAAAGAATTGCAATTTGGGACCTGCAATCTATGGTAAACTACAAGCAAGTCCAGAAGACAAAGAAGAGGCCCATTCTATAGAGGAGAAGGTGTGTTGGGAGGGGCCATTATAAACAAAGAGTCCTTTGGAGGAAATTGAGAGTTCAAAGTACAGCAGCTTTTCGTTGGCTGAGTTGTGACAGTCGCTCATTGGCTGGGCTGTTGCTGGACAAGGAGAAAATCTTCCTTCCTCCTGCTGGGGTAGCAAAGTAGGCTTCTTCCTGTTGGGTCTACAATTGACATTGAGTGGTAGGCTGTGAAAGCACCCCCTTCTGGCCTCCCAACTCTATTTTAAATGAAGTTTCTGTTTATGAAGTTTCACAGGTGATATTGCAATTTTGTGTTTCAATTACTGGGGAATCACCACACTGTATTCCCCAATGGCTGTACCATTTTATATTTCCACCAGGAATCCATGAGGGTTCCAATTTCTCCACATCCTTACAACACTTGTTATTATCCATGGGTTTTGGAGGGTTCTTTTTTTTTTTTTTTTTTTTTGATTGTAGACATCCTAGTGGGTGTGAAGTTGTGTCTCACTGTGGTTTTGATTAGCATTATTGATGCTGAGCATCTTTTCATGTGCTTGTTGAGTGCTTCTATATCTGCTTTCTAGAGTTGTCTATTCAAGTCCTTTTGCTCATTTTTAAATTGGATTGTTTGTCTCTCTTAGTTGTTAAGTTGTAAGAGTTCTTTATATGCTCTGAATAGTAGAGTCTTATCAGATCTGTAATTTTTGAATATTTGTTTCCCATTCTGAGGATTGTCTTTGCACTTTCTTGATAATTTCCTTTGAGGCACAAACACTTTTAATTTTGATGAAGTACAAGTTATCTGTTTCTTTTTTTCTTATGCTTTCGAAGTCATGTCTAAGAATCCATTGGAAAATCCAAGGTCGTGGAGGCTTACCCCTATGTTTTCTTCTACTAGTTTTATATTGTTAGCTTCTATATGTAGGTCACTGATCCATGTTGAGTTAATTTTTATATATGGTGTGAGGTAGGACTCCACCCTCATTATTTTTTGTGTAGATATCCTGTCATCCCAGCACCCCTTGTTGAAGAGATTATTCTTTCCCTGAGTGGGCCTGGCACTTTTGTCGAAAATCAGTTGGCCATAAAATTTTGGGTTTATTTTTGGAGTCTCAATTCTATTCCTTTGATTTATACGTCTTTACTTATGCCAGTACTACATTGTTGGGGTTTTTTTGTTACTTTAGCTTTGTAGAAAGTTTTGAAATTGGGAAGTGTGACTCCTCCCACTTTGTTCTTTTTCAAGTTTGCTTTAGTCATTCAGGCTCCCTTTCAATTCTATATGAATTTTAGGTTCAGCTTTTCCACTTCTACAAAAAAAAAAAGGCCATTGGAATTTTGACAGGGATTACACCAAAGCTGTAGATCACGCTGGGTACTAGAAGACAACAATTTTGTCTTCCAATTCATGGACACGGGATGCCTTTCCATGTATTTACCTCACTTAAATTTCTTTCAGTAATGTTTGATGGTTTCTAGTGTACAAGTCTTTCACCTCAGTTAAATTGATTCCTGGGTATTTTCTTCTTTTAGATGCTGTTATAAATGGAATTGCTTAATTTCCTTTTCTGATAGTTTATTGCTGATGTGTAGAAACACAACTGATTTTGTTTGTTGATCTTGTTCTCTGCTACTTTGCTGGTTTTGTTTAATAGCTCTATTAGCCTTCTTGTGGATTCTTTGGAATTTTCTCTCCACAGGATCATGTCGTCTGTTAATAGCAATAGTTTTACTTCTTCCTTTCCAATTTAGATGCATTTTATTTCTTTTTCTGGTTTAATTGCTCTGGCTAGATCTTCCAGTACAATGTTGGCTAGAAGTAGTACGTCTTAAACGTTCTCACCACAAAAAAAAAGAAAAAAGGCAATTATGTGAGGTGATGGAGTTGTCAACTAACCTTATTGTGGTAATCATGTTGCACTATGTATGTGTATCAAATCATCACTTTGTATGCCTTAAACTTACACAATGCTATACATCAATTATATCTCAATAAAGCTCGGGGGAAAAAGGAGTGTTGAAAGTGGGCATATTGATGTCTCGTTCCTGTTCTCAGGGGAAAACCTTTCAGTCTTTCACCATTGAGTATAATATTATTTGCAGGATTTTTGTAAATGCCCTTTATCATGGTGAAGAAGTTCCCTATATTCCTAGTTTTCTGAAAGCTTTTATCATGAAGTATATTTTCAGGCTGTTAACAGTGGTTATGATGCCTGTGTAAGCTTTCACTCTATGATTTACTCATTTTTGTAGTGTTTGAATTATTTTACTTGGAGTAAGATTGTTTTGGGAATCCGAAAAAAAGAATCAAGTTGAATGCAACTGAAAGGACACTGGCCTGGCCTGCCTCCGGAGCCCAGGCCCTGACCAAGGTCCAGGAGGCCCTGCAGGTGGTGCTTCTGTTCTCTGGCTGCAGGTCACTCCTGCACATGCTTAAGAGATTAAAGTTGCCTGCCCAGTAGAAAGTGACAGAGCACAGGACAGACAGAGACAGTCTGAGCCCCAAGGTCGGGCTCTCTTTGGTGACTTTGCTCAATGAGATGCTTCCTCAAGCCACAAGCCACCCTAGACACTGGTCACCTTCTTGCTTCGACACCTTCCTCACAGACAGGACAAATTTGCCTTTATTTTCCCAATTTCTTCAGACAGACCTATTTATAGATACATAGATAGGTGCAAATTCAGAAACATATAGTCACAGACTTAACACAGCTCAGTCTCTCTCTGCAAACAGTGCTGATTCTCCCTCGGGAAATGCTTTCTTCCTCCTCTCTCTCCATCTCAGGGACTCGCCGGGTGCTGGCACTGGAGCCTCGCCCATTCCCAGTCCTTGCTACTCTGGTGCCCAGTAAACAGCCCCATTGTGCTGTTAAATAGGGGCATCATTCAAAGGAAGGCAGAAGAAGGAGAATCTACTTCATCTCTCCTCCCCACCTCAGGGAGACCACCTCTGTTTTTCTTTTCCTTAAGCACCCTTGTCATGACTTTAGGGAAGAAAGGGGCAGCATAATCATTTGGAAAACCACCTTTGTGTAGGATGATGCAACATGATCTTCAGCCCACCAAGGCTGATCTGGGTATTTCTGCTGCTGCATGCCCAACTTGTTAAAAGCAACCCGTAATAGGTTATCACCATGGAGTTACCAGCCAGCTACCTGGTGGAAGGTTGATTATATTGGATGCCTTCCCTCAAGCAAGGGGCAGCAAGTTTTTCCGTCTAGAATAGAGACTTTTTCTATACATGTACTTGCCCTCCCCTTGCCACGGTTTTGCCAGCAATACCATCCATGGGTGTACTAAAGCCTCTTTCACCATCACAGTCTCCACACAAAAGCTCTACTGAACTGGATTTGATGCATTTCCCTGGCCATTTGGGGCTCCTCGTGCTGTAGAGCCCACAAGCCAGAGAAGCTTATTGTGTTGGCTGGGGAGATGCATCCTGATGATCCAGAGGAGAGAGGACTGCTGCTACCTATCAGGGTTGGGGAAAGTATGCCTGAGACCCACAGACTTTCGGGGAGCACCTCCTAGCACTGCCATGTAGGGAGGTACAATTTAGTGGAGGATGGCAGCAGGTCCTTATGGACAGGACCAGCATGGGCTCAGCCCCCTCAGGAATGAAGGTTTGGGTCACCCTGTCCTAACCAGCTGGGATGGTAGCTGAGGGCAAAGGGAACAACGAATGGATAGTAGATGAAAGAAATGAAAAATACCCAATTCTGGCCTCATGTCTAATGTAGAAATGAGGACTGCAATGCTTAAGCCTATTTTATTTCTTTGTTATTTTAAGTATCTTTTCATTCACATTAGCCAGTTTCCTCCCCTCCCCACCTTCTCTCTACTATGTTATAGCAGTTGGGTTGGTAGAAGTTAACCTTTATAATTTAGTCCCTCGCTTACAGGTTCCCCACAATACATCGGGAAGGAACCAGAGATGGACGGAACATCACCCTGAGATGGATGGGGCTTTGAATCTCCACTGTCGTGAAGAGTGAGCGTATTTTTACCTGTTTGGAGGGCAGCTGCATTGCGGTAGGCACAAGACTGTTGCTGCTATCATTGTCTGAAAACTTACATAATGGATTGATACATGTAAAGCCCTTGAAAGAGGGCCTGGAACATACTAAGTGTTAGCTACTGTACGTCTTAGAAGAAAGTACGTTGGGGTGCCGAGTAGCCAAAGGGAAGGCCTGTGGTGGATTCTGTGATTTGGCTCCTCACCATCTGTTCCAACCTTCGTCTAGTGAGCCTTCCACTGCACGACTGTTCTTACTTATGTCTCCCCAACCTGACAGGGAGGCCCCGAGGGAGGGCATGTGTCTGGACTCCCCCTGGGTCCCCGGGGCCAGAGAGGCAGGCGAGAGAGACAGCCATAGGCCAGGCCCGCCCAGACCATCAAAACACACTCAGATCGTGAGTGAGGAATAGAGAGAAACCGGGAAGGGGGCCGGGAGGGGGAAGGCCGACACAGGCAAGGGGTGGCCTCTCCCGCTCAGGAGGGAAGACTGCTGGGGCTGCATTTGGAGGGTGGGGCGGGGATCAACTGGCCTGGGTTGAAGCACCTGGCCACCTCCCCACCCCCCACCCCCCCCCCGCCAAGCCACCTCAGGCCCAGGCCCCGACCCTGGCCCAGTCACCTCCCATTGCAACAGGGGTCCCTGGCAGAGACTCCCCTCCCCCAGGCAATGCCGCCCCCCAGCCCTGCCGTCATCCCCAGCCCCGCCCGCCTCCAGCCCCGCCTTTCCTGTTGACTTGACCCCCTTCCAGACACAGAAGGACACCAGCACCCAGCAGGCCAGCAGACACAGGGTCACCTCCCAGTTGAGGACCCCTGGCACCTCCAGCCCCCCAGAGGGCTGCAAGACTTTGCTCCCGGGGGAGGGAGAGCCCATGAGGGCTGTGCCAGCAGAGGGCAAAGCGACGGGGAGCTGTCCCAGGGGTGGTGCTCCCCCTCGTGCAGCCCTGGAGGCCAGCTGGTCCCTCCTGGGCCCCGCTACTCGCAGACTCGGGCCACGTGTGGAGCCCAGAGAGGGGGACAGGCCGCCCGGCCCAGAGGAGCCCGACTCCCTCCCGGAACTCGATGACAGGACACTGGCGGTCGGCAGGCTGGTCACAGGCGAGGTCGGCCCGGCGGGCAGCAGCCCGGGCTCCCAGGCGCAGGACGCACGCCTGGGGCGCGGCAGCCTTGGCGGGCAACCGTCACCTGCCCAGAGGCCTGAGCACAGAGGCCCAGCGCACCGCTCTCCTCCCGGGAAAGCCCCAGGGAAGGGTCGGTTCGCGCAGGCGCACTGAGGTTACGTCGTGCTCTATTGGGCGGGGCTTCACGAGGGAGTCCCCATTGGCTCGGCCGGCTACAGGGTCTCTGGGCCGGCTTGGCGGGAGCCTGTCACACTCCGAGGGACTCAAAGCGGGTCTGTTTGCGCAGGCGCACTGGACATCCCGAGTTGCATTGCGCGCGAAAGGGGGGAACTCGGTGAGAGGGCTTCAGTCCCTGAGCGGCGGGCTGAGAGGGCCGGCGGATTCGGCTTGGACTCTGAGGGGAACGACGGAGTGGCAGCAGCTATGCAGGCCGCAGACGAAGGTGGCGGTGGTGCGGCCGGTGCGAGGGGTGGCCCCAGCGGCCCTGGAGGCCCTAACAGCCATAGTCCCCCCAGCGTTCTGGAAGGCCGGGGTGCTCCTGTCAGCCCTGGCGGCCCCAGCGACCAAGTTAGCCCTGGCGGCCCCGACAGCCAGGGCGGCCCTGGCGGCCCCAGGGCCCAGGGTGGCTCTGGCATCCCTGATGGCCAGGGTGGCCCTGGTGGCCCGGGCAGCCCTGGAGACGAGGGGGCGGTGGGGCCAGCAGCCGTAGGTGCTCCCGATGTCGCACCGGCAGCACTTGAGTCAGGGCTAGGTGGAGATGCAGCACCAGTGGATGTAGGACCAGAAAACCGACAGATGGTCTTGTATCCTTTCCATTGAGCCCCTGCGGCCTGGTGGCCACAGGATGGGCCAGGGACGTGTCAAAAGGCCCGGCACAGGGCACAGGGCAGCCGGGGGCTGGGACACACAAAGGGGAGCAGTGAGGGGAAGCTGGGGTAGCCTGACGCGGGGTGGGGGAGGGTGCGCGGTGGGGGGGGGGGGCGGGGAATTGACGCCTGAGGAGGCTGGAGGGTGGGGACACAGGCCGGAAGGAGCGGGGGAGGTGGGACAGGGTGAACTGAGTGAGGAGGGAGGCGGGCAGCCCAGGGTGGCCTGAGCTGGCAGGACTGGGTTTGTGTGTTCGAGGGTGAGGGTGGGGGTGGACGGCCTGAGGGGAAGCTGGGGTGAAGGCCAGCCTCTGAGACGTGCGAAGCCTGAGGCACCAGCAAATTCAGTAGCAGATGGTGCCTTAACCATGCCTCCCCCAGCACACTCACCGTGCCTTTCCGGTCCCCCCTGGAGGCAGAGATGGCCCGCAGGGCCTTGGCCCCAGAAGCCCAAGGCCACCAGCAGGCGGTTCAGAAGGAGTGCGCCGTGAACGGCAGCGTCCTGGCTGTGTCAGTTCTACACGGAGCTGAGATGGGGGTGGCGGCAAGGGCTCAGGGCCTGAGAGCCAATCTCAGCCGGAGGGGCTCGGTGATGGACACAGGGAGACTCTCAAGTGTCAGGTCTCCGGGGCGGGTGTGGTGTGCTGGGTGTAAGAGAGAGTCATCACCTTGAACTTGATCTTTACCCCTCGCTTTTAGCAGATGGACTGCTGAAGACGCTGACCTCCTCCAGATTTCCATCAACTCCTTCCTGGACCAGCTTGCCCTCGTGGTGGGGAGCATTCAGCACTTTGGACTCCCACCTCCGCTTAGCTTAGGCTGAAGAAAGGGGACTGAGGCCAAACTGTTTTGTCCCCTACTAAGCAAGGCGTAGGGAATTGATACTTGGAGTACTTGCCACTTTAATATTGGGATCTAATTTTTTGCCTGTACTGGCCCTTGGTATCTCTTGGTCCACTTGTTTTATTTCCCTGTTGCTGGAGGAGGGGATGATTAAACGTTTGTTACAGCAGAAAATAAAACTGAGCTTCTATTTTGTGTCTGAGTTTCTTTTCAGCTACTGCACCTCAAGATTTTCTTGCCTTTGTCCTTGTGTGGGACGCGAGGTTCTGGGATTCAGATAGTCCAGTAGTACCAGGTAACTGAACACAACTTAGGAAAACGAAAACCAAGTCCCGTGTTCACTAGATACTGTCAACATTTTGCAATATTTTCTTAGTTATATTTACACATTAAATGTATAACAACGTATAATGTGTCAGTTTTCAAGTTTAGCATAATTCTTTTCCTTTTTTTCACTTACCATACTAGCTTTTCCACTTTCTAAAAACCCCTCAAAAAAATGTTAGTGAGTGGATGCGTAAAGTGCGTTATAACATAATGTTGGACAGTTAAAATTGTTATCAGTTTTGCCCCTGTTATAGACAAGGATTCAATGGAATTCTTGTACGTAAGTGTTTGCATGAATGGTTATTTACTTAAGATAGATTACAAGAGGTAGAATTACCGAGTTAAATACGTTCGTTTCTATTTATTTTCTTAAGCTTATCAATCTACAGTATACAAATGCTCTCCAGAAAATATGCCCTCCCACCAGAATTCTGGTCCTCCCCCACATCCGTGTCACCGTTAGGTTGGCTTCCTGCCAAAATAAAAAGCATTTTTTTTTTAAATGAGAGAAGTACACACAGAAACACTAGAATAGGAATTCGGTGGCTTACCGGCCTTGTTTCAGTGAAGAAGTGCTGGGACAATTGGCTAAGTGTTGGGGGGGCTGGGGTGGGCAGCTCCCTCTAAATAGCTTGTGTCTTGGAACCTTGCTAAACTTATGACTAATGGCTAGTAACTTGTAGATGCCATCAGATTGTCCACATAGACAATCATATCTGTAAGTAAAGCAGTTTTATTTCTTCCTTTGTAATTTGGATGCCTTTTATTGGTTAATCTCTCTCCTCATTATGAGTTGGATTTTCCCGCTGCTCTGCATGCCTGGTAATTTTCGATTGGATGCCAGGCATTCTGTATTTTGCCTTTCGTGCTGTGTATTTTTGTATTCCTAAACATACTCTTAAGCTGATGCATGCTAGTCGGCAACAAAAACGGACCACTACTGATACATGCAAATTCTTGGGTGAAAAACACTCAGACCCAAAGGCTGCATTCTGTAGGAGTTCATTTATCTGACATTCTGGAGAAGGTAAAACTATAGGTAGAGAAATCAGATCAGTGGCTGCCAGGGCCTGGGGGAGAGTTTTACTACAAAGGGGAATGAAGGGACTTTTGGGATAGTGTAAGTATATCTCAATTGTGGTGGTCGTTACGTGGCTCTATGATTTTGCCAAAATGCATAGAAATGTGCACCTAAAAAGGGTGAATATTGTAGTTTGTAAATTATACCTCAGCACAATCTGACTTTAAAAAATAAGCATGTAAACAAAAAGGGGTAAAACAGTAAAAAGAAAGACGTGTTCCAGGATAGTAATTGCATCCCAGGGTAGGGCAAGGGGAAGTCTGGAATGACAGCTGTGCAGTCCGTCTGCATAGAGAGAACTGGTCATGACAGAAAGGGGAGAGAAAATGCTCAGGGAAATGGTTTTTAATTTTACCATGGTTAGCAAGGCGACTTTTAACCTCAGGGGGAAAAATACCTAAAATAAATAGAATGCAATAGAACCATCTTGAGAGGGTGAGGAAGTATAGTGGATAGTGGTGTAAAACAGCTAAATTCTCATCTATCCATCAATAATCAATGTCTAAAAATGATGAATTAAAGAAAGAAAGAAGAGAGGGAGAGAATGAGAGAGAGAGAGAGACAAACAGATGCAGCTATTACGGCTGCTGCATCTAGTCAGGTGAGATTCTTTATCATCATTTTCGTTATCTTCATTGTCTTCATAATCATGACCACCAGCAATAGCATCATGAATGACATTTCTCTCCTTTCAGCCCACAATGTCAGAACTCTCCAAGTTCTGCAAGGGCAGACTCTGTTCAGGCATATGGAATAACAGGGACTGAATTTATCCTCACACTTGGTACATCACCCAAAAACACAAACAAAATATATGAAACAAAAGTTTTCAAGACACTGGCTGTCAGGTAATCAATGACAATGATCTGGGAGAAGGGAAAGAAATGAGATGAACCCTGAAGTTGCCCCAGCTTACTGTCTGGTGAGAGAGTTTCCAGGAGGAGCCCAGCACAGTCCCTGACTTGAAGAGACAGAACTGAATATCCCAGAGACTGAGTTTGCAGGGCAAAGGACCAGAGAGACGAGAACGGCAGAGGGAGAAAACACCGCATATCCGCAGAGGGTCCCGCTGGAGCATTCCACAGACCACTAATCAGCACAAGAGTAGGAGGACACTACTCAAGGGAAACCAGGGAAAGGATCCCCCCCTCCCCCCTGGAAAGGATCACAGGTAACTATGCCCAGCACTCAAGCAGGACAGGGACTAGTGGCTGTCCCCCCCCCCCCCGCCACCCTGCCGGAGTGGCGGCAATTCTCACAATTCAGGAGGCATTGGGAAGGGTGCTCAGAAGGGTCTTGCCTCAGGACGTGGAAAAATTAATTCTACACTGAAAGCTGCTCTGCTCTCACGGAATGATTCTTAAAAGCAAGACTCAAAAGAATCAAACTATTTCCAAATAATTTAACAGCATCCCAGAACAA